GCTGACCAGGGTCCTGAAATCTCTGGTCTGCCCTCCTAGCATGCAGAGTCAGAGCCTGAAACAGAATCCCAGACTGCTCTATGCTTTGGCCTGTCTGTTCTGTTTTGATTTGTTTCTTTTCTTTTTGTGATGTTTAGAGAGCTGATTTCAGAGTTCATGAGTCAAATCTATGTGACCTCACTGGAAAAGTGCAGGAAGGAAGGTCTGCTGGTAGGGAAAGATGGCAAGGGAGATGATGCATTGTGGCTCTCTGTTGGCCTCCTAGCCCCTGTGAACTTTAAGCCTCCAAGGGTATCTGTTGACTCTTCTCTGCTCCCATCAACACCCTGGCCTTCTTGTATATCTTTTTCACACACTCTAGACTTCTAAATAAATATTCTAAATATTCTGAGTTTGTCATTAATATATATATTAATAACAAACTCAGAATACTTAGAATATTATATATTTGCTTAGATTTCAATTTTTTGAAAAATTACTGGAATGTTGACTTTGTGTAAGCTTGTGTTTGGGGACTGCTGCAATCAAATGTCACATTCATAGTACTTTATTATTGCTCTTCCTTTCTATAAGCATGATACCAAGATGAAAGCAAAAGAGAACTCTTCTATAATATGGGTCAAAAGTGTGTGCCAGTCATCTGAAAGTGCTGTGCAGCTTTGGTGTGCCCTCTTGATGTAACTCTGTTCTCCAGTAACACCAGACTTTGCACATTGGCAGCACATGGATTGGGAAGGTGGGCTGGCACAGTCAGGATGCAGGGCAGCTATGGCCCATGGTTGGATGCTAGTCTCACTCACACCCTTGCAGCATTTTTGGATCATTCTCTCTATATGTCAAATGTTGCAAGAAGAGCAGCTAAGTCAACCAGGGCATAGATGGGCACATGTGCTTCTCTGCAAGGGATGCAGTGGATGGTTCTGATGAATGGAATGAGACACACCTGAAAATTTATCTCAATTCCCTGTCCCCAACCTGATTTCATACCTTCAGGCCCCCGAAGAAGCCAAGTTTGTGGAAGAGAGGAGGGTGCACTTATTATTCAGAGGCTATGTTGTGTTGCTAGGCAACAACAACAGTGGCAAGAGTGTGGCAGGGAACTGGAGAGGAGCAACTGAGATCAGGGAGAGCCAGGCTAGATTGTCTCTTAGGCCAGGGGAAGAGAAATGCAAGGCAAGAGGGTTCAAGCACAGTGGGGATTCTGCTCAGGATTGGTGCCCCCTTTTTGAGGGATATGGCAGATCCTCGTCCCACCTCACAATCCACTGGAGGAAACAGCAGCAACAGCTGCAAGACCAATTTGTGCTCTAACAGCTACACCCACATGTCCATGGTTTGTGTGTATGCTTGTGTATGAATGGAGAACTTTGGAAAACTGTCCCTTTTCCCCTACTGTCATGCAATCCTTTAAACCAGTGGTTCTCAACAGCTCCAGGAATCCTGGCCAGCACAGCTGGTGTGAAGGCTTCTGGGAGTTTTCTGGGAACACCTGGGGACCCAAGGTTGGGAACCACTGCTTTAGACAGTCCCAGTGGCATGAGAACATGCCAGCAGAGGACACTGGCACCACAATAACCCAGGGTCTTCAAGGGGTCACCTAAGCTGAATGCAGTCAGAGAAGAGACTACAAAGAAAGCTGATGCAAAGCTGAAGCACTCTGAGTTGGGTGGCCAATATAGTCACAGTCTTCATAAGCTGTTGTTGCTCATAGAAAATATTCAGAAGCCACCTCTTAGGATAGAGAATTCTCAGGCTGAGGGAGGGACAACTTTCCACGTAATGCAAAATATACATAGCATCACAGCATCATAGAATAATTAAGTTGTAATACAATACATATAATATATACATATATCAATAATTCATTTAAAACAGAAAGAATTATAAACATAAAATTAATAAATAAGAAAAATTAGCAATAACAATAATCACAAAAATAGTGGAGACCGGCTTGACGCTGCGACGAGACAGCAGCAGGAGGATGGAGCTCTGTCCCCTGGACTGAATTCTGACCTGTTTGGGACATCTCAGGGTTTCAAAACCACCCTGAAGCAGTGGTGAACTGGGGGGGAAGCCTGTTGACCATGGGGGGGATAGCGGTCATCTCTGTTTGATCCAGGAAACTCCCCAATCAGCCAATGGGCAGAAACAAGCAGCTAGGAAGCTTGCTTACAAGTCATTGGCAGCCGGCAATAAGAGAAGTAACAACCAGCTATTCAGCATCATTGTTATTATTGGGTGAGATATATTTTTACAACTAATTGCTTATGATTACCTCTGGAGAAGACAATTCCTATATACAGAAAAAAGAATCTCCTATCAATCTCATCATTCATAGAGTGGCAGAAAATCTGGAGAGAGGGATAGTTGATGCAAAGAAAAGAATTTAAAGATTAATGGGACATTAACTACTCATTTAAATACATTTAAAATATATTTTAAGAATATTATAATTTGGCATTATAAATCTTAAGAAACTTTTCTCATACGCTATTATCATTTAAGCAGCAAGTTTGGAGTTATATTATGTTTTGGCTACCTGACGTCTTTTGACATAATGCCCAGAACAGTGACCTTGAGCACTCTACTTCTGTTTAAAGCTTGGAAACCTGTTTTTTATTTCCTTATGATTTTTTCATGGCTGGCTGGAACATAGACAAATTAACCCTACAGTGGATCTTTTTAAACTGTACTTTGGGAATCAGTATATTGGGCCAAAGTGAACATTTTGGAACCACCTCCAGGGACTTGGAATTTCAGTTTTGGCCGATGCAGAATTGCGGGAACTAGGCTAGCAGGACATGGATACAAACACTGAATTGGACTGTGAAATTTGGGTGTTTTGAACCTCGGTTTAGGCCTATTTGGCCAAAGTATATCCTCTGAAACTGCCCTGGGAGCTGGAAGTGTTTGTGTTTGACTAGCTGGCGTAAACCTGTGGGAATTAGGCCATCAGGCAACGGATACAACCATTGCATTGTACCTTGGTACTTTTGGGGTTTAAATTTTGGTTCAGGCCTATTTAGCCAAAGTGGACTCTTTGAACTGACTCTGGAGACTTGGAATATCTGTTTGGCTGGCATCAATTTGCCAGGGATCAATTAGGCCACAGATACAATCATTGAACTGGACTGTGATACTTGGGGGTTTCGAATCTTGGCTTCAGCTCTTGGGCAGCTGGAACAGAATGGCACAACAAGGACAATTTTGAGAGGAAACAAAATCTACCTTTCAAACAATCGTAGAAATAGTGTGATCCCACTACCAAGAGACAAAATTATTCAACAAACATTTGAAGAAGAACTATAGTCAACAAGAGACAGGGAATAACGAAAAAGGAAATGAAAGTGTGCCAGATGATGTGTGCCAATCAAACGAGGAGCTGGAGGAAATTAATGGGGAAAACCTAAGAAAAACAATTTTAATCTTTGAATCTGAAGAGAGTATTAAGGGAAGACAAGGGGAGAAAACCAGCAAAATTAATTTTAAAAAGCCTGGAAGACCTATTGAAGATAGACCAAGTGCATAAAGATCTAGTGGAGATAAATCAGATGCACAAAATGGTTTCAGAGGGCATGAAAGATGGCAGAATGCTTAAAGAGACAAAAACAAAAAGTGAAAAAAGAGAAATAAGAGAGGGAATTACTTAGAAAGATGAAAAGGGGAAAAATAGGAAGGAGGCCCTTAATGTTGAAAAGCATGTATATATCTAATTTCGGGAATTGTAAAGGAGCATAGCCTTTATATAAAAAAGGAGAATTAAATTGAAATAAGGGAGCACTAACCAGGGTAAAGACATAATATGCTGGGTTTTCTTATTAGGTAAATTAAACTAGATATAAGGTTGGGGCATGGATCTGGAACTACTTTTATTAAGAATGTTATTAGAAGATCTTGAGAATATTGTACACTATGAAAGTAATATTATGATAGTAGCCAATATTATATACTAAAATACGTACATGAATGGTTAGAATGTTTGAAAGATGTCTGGAATTTGGGGGGGGGGATAACTGGGAAGACACTGAGATGTAAAAAACAAATAATTGTAAGCAAATCATGTAACACGATGTTTGACAAGCGTAAATCAAATGTAGATAGAGTGAAAAACTTTGTCTAGGGGGGCAGGGTAAAAATGTAATAAAAGTAAAAAGTAAAAGTAAGTTTATAAAAAAGTATGCAGCACTCACAGCAACACCTTTGTGCTGTGCCAGTGAGTGCTGAGTCTCAGGCAGAAATGGGAAGAAGAAAAACATCCATACAGTAAAGCAAACACATGAACCAAAAACAAATATTTTCCACCACCAGCATTCCCTCACCCCTCCCCAAGTTTTGTCTTCTTTCCTGAGGAAGCACTTGAATTCCTTGAGGGTTCAGCCAACCCCCTCAAACCTGGCAGCACTACCCCTGCATGGGAGAGCCCCCAGAGGAAAATGCAGAAAGGAATCAACTGTTTACATAGCTTCTGAAGTGGAGCTGCTCCCTTTCACAATGGAGGCACAATAGCATCCATAAGACCAGCTTCACAACTCCTGACCAATATATGCCAAGGTGTTGATATCTGTGGCAAAATGCCCTTGTCCAGGGATAAGGAGAGCACCACGGCATCCAGAATCCACTGTGAAAGTTCATGGTGGCCTCACAACATGCATTTCAGTCCAGGCAGGATCGAAACTGAATGCCAGTCTGATGCAGGCCATGCCCTGAGATGCTCCTTCCCTTCTTCAGCTGATTGCATGGCCACCAAGATCCCACCTTTCCCCCCAATGAAGAAGCTCTTCCATCACCCACATCTGGTGTCTCCTCCTGGTCTATACACACCTGGACAGGCCCCAAGCTATAGTGAGGAGGGGGGAGGGGAACTCTTCTGACATTTATTTGTTTCTGTTGGTATTTTTTTTCCTTTTGTTGTTGTTCACCTGATTTCCATCCCAGCTTTCTCCCAGAAGAGGGATCCAGGGCAGCTTGACCTGTAAATCTCCTTACATTTGTGCCCACAGGATTACACCATCACCATGTACTTCCAGCAAAGCTGGCGAGACAAGCGCTTGGCCTACACTGACCTGCCTCTCAACCTCACCTTGGATAACCGTGTGGCTGATCAGCTCTGGCTTCCTGACACCTATTTCCTGAATGACAAGAAGTCCTTCCTGCACGGAGTGACAGTGAAGAACCGGATGATCCGCTTGCACCCGGACGGCACTGTCCTCTATGGCCTGAGGTGAGTCCTGAAGGGTGACGCTTCTCCCTCCTCAAGCCCAGGGGTCCACTTGATGGGATGAATTCATGCCAATAGAGAATCAGGTTGCCATGACTAGGGATGGGGGGGAGCCATTTTATGTGCTTTAAATAACATGTTCTCCTTAGGTGTGGCTGCATTTATTTCACCTACAAATATCTTTGTATTTTTCCAGTACACTAGAAAAACAATTTTAATCCAGGCTTCAATGGTTTCTGCTGCTCCTAAATTTCAACTAGTGATTTTTTCAAAGGCAGAATTTGATTTGACTTTCCAAGTATACATTTTTAGACAGACATTTGATATTTTACCTGCCCTGTAGTGCCGTCTTTAATCTCTATCCTTTGTAATTTGAATGTTTTTTAAAATATTTTTCTGATGTTTATGGTTTTATGGTGGTTTTATATTATTTTATTAAGGTTTTGCCTTTATCCTGTTTTTCCTATTTATATTAAGAACTCTCTAAGTCACCTTCAGCACTATCTTTTAGTGGAAAGGTAGGGTGTAAAGATAATAAATAAATAAACAAATAATAAAAGTCAGTGAATGCTGATGACCTTTTAAACTACCCTTTAGAAAGCGTACTGAGGCCAGGTTGTGGATTTCTTGTGCATAGCTGGGCGTTTTGCTGTGCCACCTAGCCTAAATAACAATTTGCGTCAGTGGTTAGTAGGACGACTGTCCTTCCTGCAGGAATGAGATCTTACTTTCACAGCAGGCCTCTTTTTTATCAAATCCCTGTGTGCCTGGTGAATTCCTTCACCCAATTCCCTGAGCTGCTTTCCAAAATATGTCTTACAACCACAGAGGGAGGGAGGGAGGGAGAATACAGGGGAATTGTATAGGGTGCATCAAGTGCTGGGGTTTGAGTATCATCATGCTCTTTGAAAAGTTAGATAGGAATCATACAGTTGCCACTCTTCCTTGCAACCTAGCAGGCTTTGCCATCTGTCTGGTCATCTGGGAGACTTGTGGGAATAACATAGGCAGGGCAGCAGGCAGGCAACAGGAGCACCTGTCCTCTGGACGGCCCATCTCAGGTCTCTGGCAAAACAGAGACATTCCAAAGCAGGCTTTGCGCAGCTGTGCCTCCAATGAAAGGGGCTCAGAGAATGAGGTGAGGGTACCTCGTGAGGCTGTTGCGTTGCAAAATAGAAGCAGGCTCCAAGTTATACTGAGACAGAACGGGGGATGATCTCTTATTAGGGCTTTGTTTCAGGTTTCCACGGGGCTTCTGTTTGATTGCACTGGAGAGCAAAGGAAAAGTTTGAATTTTCCGTTTCACCAAATCCGATGTCTTGGAATATGACTCCCCAAGTTCCTTTTGTTTTCCATTTTTCTCTCCACCCCTTTCGTCTTTCTGCTTTTCATAACGCTGCTATTTGAGGGAAATAGAATTGTCAGGAACCCGAACTCCCAGCCTCAGCATCCTCATGGAGATGCCACCATTCTGAATACCTGTTTGATTTAGGGAGCTCACTCTTTTTTTGAAGGAAAAGTCTTGGAAGGGCAAGGGTGGTGCAGTTCTGCTGGCAAGGCCAGGAACGGCAGGCGGGGCTTCGCTGAGATAAACAATTCAGAGGGATTTCTTGGGTTGGGTTTGGTGTGCCTTTCTCTGGCAGCCTCTTAGCCACGTTCTGCTTGAGTTCCACCCCACCCACCCTCTCCCCAGACTTGTAGTGCTGTTTTTCACGGGTGGGAAAAGGTGGTACAGAGGAGGGTGAGAGCTGACCTCTGCTCCAAGCCACAAACCAGAAAGTTCCAAGCCAGAATCCCGTCCTTCTCTTGAGTAATAGGCAGGAGGAAGAGGGCCCTGTGATGCAAGAAAACAATAATTACATTCCCTTTTGTGCAAAGAGAAGGTGGAGAATGCACTGGGAACTACCAACACCCTATTGTGCTCCTCCCTTCCTCCAGTGGAGCCTCCTCAATCAGCCTAGAAGAAGCCATCTAGGTGTGCAGAAGGAGTGAGCTTCATTTTATTAGCACCTTGAAACGGTGCCCTGAGTACTGCTGGAATATATTTTTCCTCAAAGAAAAAGTAGAGGCCAAATTTGCAATGACTGTGCAAAGGGTCACCATTTGTGCAATGATAAGGAATATTTTTCCCAATGCAGGGAAAAATCTGTTGAGGAAACAACAACAGTGAGTGCAGCCAAAGATTAAAGGGGATGGAATTGTTGCCAGCTATAGATTGTTGCTCACTCACTCTCTGTCTCTGTCTCTGTCTCTCTCTCACACACACACACTTTCTTCCTTTTAGCACACATCTCAGTCCAAGTCAGCCATCTTATCAAGTAGCCTATTAGTTGTCTAAAAGAGTTCTTACTGCAGGAAATGGATTAGGTGCCAGCTGCTAAGGAATAATGGTATTCTTGATGAGCAGAGGAAGAACGTCCTGCAGGCAAAGGGGGTGGAGCTGCTCACACTATCCTTGTAAATACAGCCCCCTGCATGCTTTGGAACACTTCCATCCTGGCCAGGAGCAGGGCGGTTTCCCCCAATCGTCCTGATGGCAGGTGGCAGCTGACTCCTTCATCCCACAAAGCTGGGAGGCCAATGCTAACCAGGCCAGGCTTTCAGGCTTCTCTGCACTCACCAGAAGATGGACATGGCAGGGATGTTTTGGCTACAGGGGGTCCTGCAATTGAGCTGAGAAAATATCATTTAGTATGTTTTTGCGTTTCACACTTTAGGGGGAAAGAGGAGAAAGCAGTTCTGGATGCTGTTTCCCAAAGGAGCCATTTAATATATACAGGATGAGTCACGGGCAAAGGCTGTCTTCTCAGTTCTAGGCTAAATGATTCTCTCTCTCTCTCTCTCTCTCTCTCTCTCTCTTCCCTCTATCTCTTCCTT